AATTTTCAATTACCTGACTTTTGTTTTAAATCATCTAATTTTTCTTCTCTGTTTGCAATGTCTACAAGTGTCGAGCGTAATTCTTCTTGGGTATGACCTATTTGCTCTATAATTGTTTCGGTTTTTGAGCGACTAGGTTCTGATATTTCACTATCAGACTTGTGAGACTTGTGAGACCTGTGTCAATAATTATCAATAGGTGCATCATGGATAGAAATATAAACGAACAGTTGATATCAGAATAAATGTTATAGGAAATATAAAAATATGGCGAAATGACTCGTTGAAATGATCTTCAAGAATATCAATACTATTAATGCAATTTTCAAGGCACATACATTTATATACTTTATTAATAATTTAAAATAAAGATTTACAAAACAAATATTTCGAAAAACTCTTTCGCGATCAGCGTATAGATCACCTTGTATTGAACCAAATATAAATAATGCAATATCAAACTTACTTCTTTTAACAATTTTTGCTAAACCCGATCATAAGATAAAAAGCCTCAGGGATAAATTCGAAGCGAATAACTCACGTGTGTGGCCAGATAAATTTCAAGAATTATAACTTGATTTTTTGTTAAATTTCTTCATAGCCGATTTTTTTTTTTTTTTTTTTTTTTTGTACCTCTATTGTTTCGACGACGACCATTGACATCTGCAAACTAAAGCAAAAGTAACGCACGTACATAAAAATCAGAATATTTTCAGGGAGGGATTGTATTGAATATTATTTATTGTATTTTTTTTAATTAATTTCTTTTTTCTAATTTTTTTTTTAAAAAATTCTATTTGTAGAAATTATCGTCTAATGCATCTTTTATTATTTATAGTGTTTGCATTTGTGGCGGTACTGCGCAAAATTAATTTGTTATACGATACGTACAATTTTTATATAAATATAGCGATAAATACATTTTGTATTTGCACATAGAAAACCTGGGACAGATTTAAGTATATTAATATCCAGTCTCCGAACTAATTATCGAATGATACATTAATAGCATATTGTATTAAAGAGAAATTACAATAGAAGTGATGAGA